TGGGACTCCTCACCAGTACGCACCCACACTTATACAATTATATCTTAATCCTGTGCAATTTCTGTGTTTCTAAGGCTCTTGTAATCTATATTCACACCTCCTGACTTCCATCTCAAGTTGAAAATTATTTCAATTTTGTTTCCATGCTCATTTTTATTTATACCTGTAATTCACTATAATCCCGTGTAATTTTGTCTCTAAGCCTCTCGTTGACCATATCTAGTTGAAAATAATTGTCACCTTTTATTGGCCTTCGTAATTATGTGGATCAAGTAAAAATTATGTATTTAAATGTGATTGTACAGATTTTGGAAATGAAATCACCGAAAAGACAACCACCTTTGTTGAACTTTGTGTTCTCTTCTTTCTAATGACCATATGGGTGTTTTCCACGATCAACGATGTCTGTTGGGATGATTGTTCCATGCGAAAAAAGATCAGTTGTGAGCAATGATAAGACTAAGAGCAGTTATCAGCATAACGTTAAGTTTCTGTTGGCGAAGTCGTACCTCTTTCTAATGAAGATGAACTTAGTGTTAGCTAAATATTTTCACATCGCATGAACCAATTACGGCACTTTGAAAAATGTACATCCGAATATACCTTGCAGTGCTGTGTATCTTACAATAATTATTTTTTGTTTGTTTGTTCATAAACAAAGTTTTACAAATTCTATCCCAGATGACTAAGATTTACGTTAGTGTAGGATTTAAGTTTTGAGGTTTTGTAGCTATATTGGACTGTGAACTAAGTGACCAAAAAGATATTTTTCTCCTTCAACTCTTGACGTCCTGTAGAAGCTTCATGTTGTCTGCTGCAACAGAACATTTTGATCTAGTAAACTGAGCATTGTATAACATGGGGACTAAGAAATCTATCATACAAAACAGTAGAACTATATAAATCACGAAAATATACCCATTTATTCATAAGTAAAAACGCAGTTTTTTGGTCAGTGAAGAAATTTCAACGACTTCATTTTCAAGCCAACTGTACAGTCGTATTTATATTACAGAAAAAAGTTATTAATTAGCACTAAATAATTGCTCAGTCAATATATATAAGTGATAAGAATAACGATAATTAAAATGTTATATGGGGTAGAGTTGAAGAGGATAAAATACAAAATTATTAAATATTGCTTTTTTTTATGTGAATTGATATCAGAAATGTTTTAAAAATGTCAAGCGTTGTCTAAAAAATTTTAAAAATTAGGAGTACAATTACGATAAGAATATAGATGTGAAGTGAAGTGGAATGAATTCAAGTGGTAAAATAAAATAAAAAACTAGAAAAAACATCACTATGACCAAGGTATAGAAAGGGGTTTGACAAAACGTTTTTAAACACATAATTTAGGCTTCTGTTCATGTATAGCTAAAGCTTCGGCTAGCTATGCATAAGTGAAAAAAACGTAAAACTTTTGGATCGATTCGATTTTGCCATGTAGATAACCTTGAAGGATGAATCACGTGGGGCTAAATGACCAGACTCTAACAGGTGATGACAAATAGACGATTTTGCAATTCTACGTTCGCCTTTCATTAACCAAACCAGATAGTGTTCAGCTACACGTTTTCGGAGAGTACGCTTACAACGTCCAATATAATCAGCTCCACAGTAGCAGGTAAAAGAGTAAATGCACATAGATGTGGACATAAGCGGTTATCTATCCTTGACGCATTGTCTAATCGTATTTCGGCTGCTAAAAACTAGTTGCAAGTCAGCTGCAGGAAAAGTGTGTTTAGTAAATTTAGATAAACGATTTTTAATCAATTCAGAAATGGTGTCACCTTTGAATGCAAGACTCATAAACAGTTTTTTCTTTGGTACTGTGATTTGTGTTGGGGCGGATTCTTTCTTGATGTTACGTTCAATAAACCTTTTAGGATATCCATTGTTAAGGAGATTTGATCGAACGTTATCTAGTTCACTACCGATTGTCTCTGTAGAGCAGATTTTACGAATTCTGGAGCATAAGGAATGAATAAGATTTCTCTTCCTGCCTAAATGTACCCCTTATAACATTTTGATTATCGTTATTCTTATCACGTATATATGTATACCGATCGAGCAATTATTTAGTGCCAATTAATAACTTTTTTCTGTAATATAAATGCGACTGTACAGCTTGAAAATGAAGTCGTTGAAAAGAAATTTCTTCGCTGAACAAAAAGAACTATATACGGCGAAGAAAGATGAAGTATTTGACAAACGGTAACAGAATGGGGAGTAAGCAGATGAGCATCCTTCTCATCCAAGAGTATGCATTACTTCTTAATACTTTCAAAAACACAAAAAGTGACGGAAATCGCAACATATTTGCCATTTATTTCGATTTTAGCCATATAGGATAGTTTCCCGAGCAACTGGTTCGAATAATCTCTCGATCGAATTCCACCCAGAGAGTCGTGATGCACTGACAGGTGTTAACAATCCATCCCATGACTTTTAGGTTATGAACTGTGACCACCTCGGGTTTTTCCATCAACTTCCTAAAATAGCTAAATGTGAATGGCGGAGGTTGCTGGGATGAAATTCCTAGCATATATTTAAGCTACAGAAAAGAGCTAGTGGCGGTCAAACCAACACATGGCTTCCTCAGTCAATGAAATCCACAACAGTTAGTTTAAACCAGTCACATAGGAACGTGTAGACTGTCAGGCTAGTTGGGGTCCTCGGGACGGTAAAAGCCAGTGACTGGAAATAATTGGCGATATGGCTCAAAATCGTTCTCAATGGCTGGTCCAGATGCATCTACTCCTTGTGACTTATGATTTCAAATGAAACTGTTTTGTTCTTCGTTATTACTATTACTATTCCTTTGTCTCACACCTCTGTTTACTGTCTCTATTATGCGTTTCTTCTATCTTCTTCTGTTGCTTTGTGTGGTACATGGAATATGGCGACTTAAACTGGTGCACTTCGGTGCAAAAGTTCTATGTCGAAAACGGACACAGACTGCCTGAGGCTATGAGCCACATCTTCATAGTTCCATGTATAAGAGACCTACATAGTTTATTGTACTCGCTATCCACCTCATCTGATTAACGGTATCGGAGAGTTACAAGGAGCAGGACTTCTCTCTGAGAGGCATTTTCCTGTACTTACCATCTTTATCCCGTTTTTTAAGTGCAACCGATGTCCATATTTACTCTCTTGGTGATCAAAGTGTTAACCTTCAGTCTTACTCTGTTTGATGATACTGAGTTACAGGTGGTAAGTTTAACCAATTTATTTACATCAACCTGTTTATGAGATAACGTCTATAATAGACAGATCGAGATTTCAAACGATGGAAAACAGCTTACGGAAGTAAAGGTAACGACACATGTAAGACAGTTTACAAGAGGAGTAGCAACAACGCAATGACAATGAATTAAATAACTGAGCATCTGAACAAAGCAAAAACTACAGATTTTGCAGTAAAGCAGTACCATATTTTATTTTGTTGCCTTCTCGTCAGCTGCTTACAGGCCAAAGACATCATTAAATATATCTACAAAAACAATTTTAACAAACTTGCACAGAGTTCATTTTAAACAAAAATCAATTGATCAGTATATATATATATATATATATATATATATATATATATATATATGATATTAAACACTATTCTGAACAACAATAATAATCATACACAATGGAAACTTTTCAGCATTACTCATTCGGATGAGAAGGAGATAAAAATGTCCCGTTACCAGGGCAAAGAAAGACTGATAACTGTTTCTTTCTGAACGCGAAAATTAGGTTTCAGGTGCTTAATGGGAATTGCTTCAGAAAACTTTGGGAGAATTGAGCTCTTTTGCCTATTGATAATTCTGAACGACTTTTCGACGTCCACCTCATGACCCGTGTCGCGGAGATGCCTGGCGGTGGCACTATTTAAAGCATTTGTTCCCAGCTGGAGACATAAGCTTTTTGGTACATGGTCAGAAAATCGTAGATATGCTCTTCTTTCTGTCCTTCCAATGTAACTGCTCCCGTAGATACATATAAATTTGTATATACAGTTTGTATATACAGATTTTTGATTGCACCAAAGAGCAAGTTGTTCGATAGACGGGAACTAGCTTAGCTGTAGGATAGGCTCTGGCTAGTGATGTACTCATCCTTCTGTTGATCATCGCTGCAATGTTTTCACAGTTATAATCAAGCTGAATGTAGATTGGCTTTTTACCCACTGTGGTTTGTTTTACATTTGTGGCTTCAGATCTTCCATACTTTATCGAAAGCCTACTTGGAAAGGACAATAGCTTTTGTCCAAATAGCTGTAAACGTGGACTAGTTAAGATTCCGTAATGTAGAGCGAGGAGAATATGCTCTATAGAGAAATTAGACGAAGAATTTGAGTTTCTTGAAAACATATTGAAGAGCAGTGGGTACCTTCAAAGGTTCATCAACAAGTATGCATATATTGGTCGATTGATTTTTGTTTAAAATGAACTTTGGGCAAGTATGTTAAAATTGTTTTTGTAGATATATTTAATGATGTCTTTGGCTTGTAAGCAGCTGATGAGAAGGCGACGAAATAAAAGATGGTACCACTTTATTCTGCAAAAACTGTAGTTCTTGCTTGGTTCAAATTCATTAAAGAGAATAAATGTAGGAAGTGAACATCTTTTTGATAAAATGGCAGTTGTGATAGGTTGTGAAAAGCTGGAAATCACAAGTTTCAGTAATAGTGACTAATGGCTATTGTACAAGAGATGAGTATTGTTGCTTAGTGGACTATTTGGTGGATTTCGGCTTCCGATTTCAGTAGAAACTCCATAACCGATACTGGAAAGTGATATATGAAAGGCACCTTCTGTATTCCAGAGGTAGTCACCACCTATCAAATATTTTCCTGATTACTCTCTCATAATAGATTGAATTTTGCTGTCGTATGCCTATGCTTATCATGCATACTGATCCTTAGTGAGATAAGATTCGTTTTACTTTTATTTAACAGTACTTCATTAAATTGCTTATTTTGTGATTTATTTTTCTTTTAGGCTAATCACCAGTACTGGTGTCCATTATGCCCCTATGCATGTCAGCGGGCGATTTCACTGTGGAAACATTATTCCAGAAATCATGAAAGTGGTGGTGGTGGTGGTAGCCGTAGGAGAAGCCCAGTAATTGCCTCAAGTAAACTGCGTCGGGTTATCAGTCCGGAACCAACTGTCACAACATTATCTCCAACTCAAACTGTAACAACGCCAATCACATCACTTTTTGGAAGTACAACAATAGTTACACCAATCAGTACACAACAACAGTGTAATGGGCGTGTTATTCTCAGTGATAAACTCCAGGTCAGTTTTTTTTCAAATGATTACTTGTATCAGTTTTATATATATCGTGGTTTTTTGTTATTCAATAACCGATTTGATGCCAATGACCTGCAATTTTTTTCCTTCACGTTCCCTGTGGAACATAGGGCTTCAAGTCAGTGGCTTGAAGTTTCTGTAGCAGGATGGGGTTGTTAGCCTCATGCCTAACCTTTCCTCTTTACCAGCATTTTTTTCTGACTTAGGGAGGTAGAGGAGTGCGTCGGCTGAGGATCGAACTCCGGACCATGTGCATGGTCGGCAAGCGTCCTAACCGCTATGCCACCGACGCACGATGACCTGCAATAGTCGACTAATATATTCCTGTCATTGTCAGCTTGCTTTATTATATTTTATACGTTGATAAGTCACTCATTGGGTTAAGCACTCAAATTGCACAATTATTAGTGAGTCACGGATTCAATGATCTCTCTACCCGCTAAATTTTAAAAAGTCAAGTAGAATTATAGAACTTTGCATAAGAGGTTTGTGAGTATCACTTTTAGTAACCATTAAACAGCAGTGGGTTTTTGCTTGATAGTCCCTTGTGAACTTCGACATACAACTGTGTCTATTTAATTTATAGTTATTTTCATCCATTATTCATTCCATGGTTACCTTGTGAAACTACCAAAGAAGGGAGACTTAGGACTGCAAGAACTGGCGAGGAATCATGCTCTTGTCGACGCCAAGTAAAATCCTGAGTCGCGTCATCCTGGAGAGAATAAAGGACGCACTGGATACAGAACTCCCACCAGAACAAGCTGGATTCAGGAAAGGCAAATCATGTCCTGACCAAATTGCAACTCTACGCATCATCATCATCGAACAAAGCATGGAATGGCAATCAAACCTGTACCTCAGCTTTATAGACTTTGAGAAGGCCTTCACCAGACAGCGTTGACCGCGAAGTAATTTGGAAACTACTTGAGTACTACGGCGTACAGTGCCCCAAATATTCATCAACCTTATTCAACAGCTGTACGACAACGGCACATGTCAAGTGATCCTCAACGGAAAACTCAGTGAGGCGTTTGGAGTAAACACAGGAGTCAGACAAGGGTGCTTATTATCACCAATGATATTCCTAATTGTGGTGGACTGACTGGATTATGCGTCAGACAGTGAGTGGGAAACGAGAAGACAGGAATATCCTGGACCGACCGACGTGAAGAACCTAGAAGACCTGGATTTCGTGTGTGGATGATTTATGTTTGATGTCACACAAAATCGAAGACTTACAAGCGAAAACCGACAAACTGGTTGAAGAAGCAGCCAGAGAAGACAGGACTCCAGGTGAACATAGACAAGACGGAGGTTATGAAAATAACCAACCAACCTACCAACAACAACAGCTGCAGAAACATCCAGCGTCAATCACCATTAACGGGAGGGATTTGAAAGAGGTTACTTCATTCACTCACTGATCTAGGGAGCATTGTCTCAACTACAGGCAGCCGGAACGGACGAGGATGTCAAATCGAGAATCGAATCGGGAAGGCGGGCGAGAAACACATTCACTCATCAACCTGAAACCAATCTGGAAATCTTCCGCTGTCACTCAGCCACCATCAACAACAAAATTCGGTCGGATTTTCAATACAAACAAACGTCAAGTCAGTCAGTTCTTCTATACGGAACGGATCAGAAACTTGGCGGGCGGGTCACAAAGAATATTTCCACCAACAGGCTGTTACAGACCTTTATCAACCAACAACTGTCTTCGCTGGCTCTACACGGAATATCAGATGGCCGGGCCGGAAAGAATCACCAACGAGAAACTCTGGCTGGGAACAAACAAAACAAGAACAAACCAATCGCCCAACAAATATGCAGGAGATGGAGTGGAGGTGGATCGGACACTCACTGAGGAGGCCACCGCTGGGTGACATCGGGCGTCAGGCCATTGCTCGACTGGAACCAGGCCGAAAGGGAAGCGGTGAGTGGGTCATCAGTGCCAGGTTGACATGGAGGTGATCGTGTGAAGAGACGTGCAGTTAAAGCCCTACGTTCCACTAGGAACCCAAGGGAGCAATAATATAATAATAATAATTCATTCCATTTGATAGGATTCTATGAAATGCTGCTGAAAGCTACCTCTGATCATCATTCTCCTTGAATTTCTCCAGTTTGAAGAATATCATATAATTCTCTTACACTTGTTGTTGTCAAAGAAAGTTCTTACATATGTCTCATTGTGACATTAGTCCAAGTATCACCTTCAGCTTTATCATCCCATATTACAATGACCAACATGTTTTTAGTGTACCTGTAATGTGATAGAGAAAGAAGATACATTGGTGCAGAATAACATGGATCCATTTTATTTCGTCGTCGATTCTCATCAGCTGCGTGCAAGCTATCATCTTTAATAAAATAGGTCAGTGCACAATTTGAATATATTCTTGCTTATCAACAGGTATATTTGTAAGGGTGTCATAGCATAATAAAACACCACGATGAGACAAGGTTTACAGTTCATATATATAGAGAGACAGCTTTTGAAATAATAAGAGGAAAACTGACCTACATATACCAAAGAATCACATTCATCCTCTTTATTTACCCTGGCCTACTTTAGGGTCAGCAGCGTCATAATCATCCATATTTTCATGTCATATACTATTCCGTCTTATTCCTTTGCGTCTAGTTCACTTTATTCCATTATTAACTTCATTAATGCGTCTTTTTCCAGTAATGTTCTACCTTTTGCATGAAAAAACATTAAAATTGTCTCCATACCAAAACCATCTTCTGGTACTGATATTAAATTTAGGCCTAATGCAATTACTTCTCCTCTTTTAAAATTGATGGAAAAATTACTTTTACTTCGTCTTGAACCTTCATTGAAACTTTTTAATGATCCTAAACAATTTGCATATAAACATGGTAGAAGTACCTTGGATGCTGCGGTAGTCTTATATCATAATGTTGTTTCTTGTTTAGACAAAGGTGCCAAATATGTTGTGGTGCTTTCCTAGACTACACATCTGCTTTTGACTCTGTACCAAGGGTCGTTTTATTAAATAAGCTATCGTTGACGCAAACAGGATCCTGGGCTAAGAGCTGGTTGCATTCTTGTTTTTCTGATAGAATGCAGTATACTGTATATAATGGCAAATCTTTTACTGCCTCGCTTAGAAAAAAGCCGGTGTTCCTCAAGGTGCCATCATCTCTCCTCTTCTTTTTCCTTTCTTCCTACATGACTTGCCTCATTGAAACGAAATTAACTTTGTCGAATATGCAGGTGATCTGACTGTATCACTGCCTATCACTTCCAAGTCTGACTGCTCAAAACTTAATAGCTTTTTGTTGGACATCAGCAAGTGGTCTAAGTCAAATGGTCTTGTGTTAAATCCTTCCAAATGTCAGGTAGTTGACTTTACTTTCAAGCATCGACGTGACATACATGAACTAGTTAGTTCCCATGATGCCTGTAGCATAGATGACACTGCAAGTGAAACCAAGTCAAGCATTAAATACCTTGGATTAGTTCTTTCCTCTCTGACCTTTCATGTTCATCCCACATCATTGCGTGAGCTCGCCAATACTATAGTCAAGAGACACATAAATTCCTGTACAAAATGGGCAAAGGTCGTACTGTCAGACCCCCTGCACCCCCTTTATTCACAACTATCCTCATCAGGTAGGACGAGAAGTCAATTTAAAAAGTTATATGCTCGTACCACTAAGTACAGAAATTCTACAATACCCTATTTAGCCCGTACTTTATGTGACGAAGACTCTGTTAGACGTGAAACTTATAAGTTACTATGTAATTAGCCCAGTGAATCGACCCTTTCATCGTTCATCTTTTTGTAATTTTATGCTGTCACCCTTTCTATCGTTTAATTATAACTCAGTGATTTTATTTTAGTTGTTATTACTATTATTACTATAATTTTATACTTTATGCATATTTCTCTCCGTAACGCGTACTGTAATTTCCTACATAGCTGCTATAACAACGTTTTGCTATTATTATTATTATGTAATGTTTATATTTTTGTAGTTTTTGAGTAAATTAGACGCAATATTGTACTGTATGCTGAAAATTCCTTGCTCTATCATTAGTACTGTTTTTGGAACAAAGCGAAAATTATTATCATTATGTGCCAACCTTTTCTAATTGACATTAAGCTGATTATGTCTTTAGTACTTTATGACAGATCATCACTTAACCTCGTTATGTAATTTTCCAGATATCTGGGTGAACAGGTGTTGAATCATTCCTATCTACAACGGGAAACTTACGGAAGCCTTCGAAGTGAGGACGGGAGTGCGACAAGGGTGTCTACTATCACCAATGATCTTCCTGATTGCAATCGATTGGATAATGCGACAGACAACGGCAACCAACGAGGGAACAGGCATAAAATGGACTGACACAAAAGACTTGGAGGATCTGGATTTAGCCGATGATATATGTCTGATTTCCCACAAACTGGAAGATATGCAAGTGAAAAGTAACAAGTTGGCGGTAGAAGAAGCATCAAAGGTAGGACTTCAAGTGAACATAGATAAAACAGAGGTGATGAAGATTCCTGGCCAACACCACCAACAGCAACAACAACAACAGACAACAATCAGCCAGCATAAATGGGAGGAATCTGAAAGAAACAACCTCTTTCACCTGCCTGGGAAGCATCGTTTCAACTACAGGCGGAACTGATGAGGATATCAAAGCAGCGGGGATCGGAAAAGCAGGACAAGCTTTCATTCCTCTTAAGTCTGTGTGGAGGTCAACAGCAATCAGCATCAAAAATAAGATCCGGATTTTCAACTCCAATGCGAAGTCAGTGCTACTATACGGATCAGAGACTTGGCGAGTCATAAAGAGCATCTCGAACAAACTTCAGACCTTCATTAACAGTTGTTTTGGCTCAATACTCAAGGTCAGATGGCCAGAAAATATCAGTAACAGGGGTCTCTGGCAACGAGCGAACCAATCAGGAACCGATTGTGAAACAAATAGGCAGGAAGAAATGGAGATGGATTGGCCATACTCTGAGGAAACCATCAAGTGACATCACTAGACAAGCCATTGCTCGAGTGGAACCCGAAAGGGAAGCGGCGAGTTGGTGATCAGTGCGAGGGTTGGGTGACTTGGAGGAGGTCATGCGAGGAGGAGATGAAAGCATGTGGACAGACCTGGAGCGGGATGAAAAAGTTGTCAGAAAACCGAAGGCAATGGAGGTGCGCAGCTGAAGCCCTATTTTCCTCTAGGAACTAAAGGATACAATAATATAATAATTCTTCTATACCGGTGTTACACGAACCTCTTCAGTTCACTACTTTTTCTATCTTGACACTAATTCGCCATTAAAAAGCTTGAAAAGAGTGACTATGTTAATTGGAGAATAACCTGATTTATTTTTTTCACAAATTAAAGTTTTTTTTCCAAAAGAAGACTAAAAAATCTTTGGATTGTTACAATAAACGGATCGTTTTATTTTATAACTGAGTGCACCATGGTTTACATTTTTATCAAGTGTTGGTGTGCAGGGATTCGATCACTTGATATGACATCAACTGGAAATCCAGAGAGTACTGGGCAGCAGCTACTTCCCTAGCTTAGAACTCTTCAGCAATAAGAACTTACCTGAGCTCGGATTCATAACCTTCTGGTTAGAAAGTGGACTCGTAGGCTATTGTAACCATAAAGTCTGCTGTTCGAACCCCGTTGGGCGCCAACAGTTGAAGAATACCAAACTAGGTTGAAACGGCTCTTCGGCACTCCATGGATAACATTTTTACTAAAATTATTCTTATAGAATTATGCTACTTACACTGGTATTCAGTAGTCAGCAGTATGGCAATATTACTTGTCATATATATTTTTACTAGATGTTATACAAGCATTTTCATTGGAGCTGAATATCCACATGGAACAGGTGAGGCCAATGCCTATGATTGGCTGTCGTAAATGTTTTTTCACTTTACATTTTGCCGCTATCTTCACTCACACCATACACCTGCTTGTCCAGTGGACAACAGTAATATAGAGAGTCCACAGGTTTCTCAGATAACAGTGAAAATTGTTGATCGTTAGTACAGACAAATGCATATTTTAAAACGTCATTCGTTTTATTTTCCGCAAAAGGGAAAGGTAGTGACAGAAATATGATCTACCCATCATATATGAATGTCATACAATGATTCCCTTATATAAATTTGAACAAAGAAAGAAGAAACATTGGTGTAGAATGATCTGGATCCATTTTATCCCGTCGGTTCTCATCAGCTGCGTACAACCTGAATTCTTTAATAAAATAAAAAGTGTACGATTTTAACAAACGTTTGTACATTAGAAAGAATATTGCCAGAGCGTCATTTACAAGGTGTCTAAAGTGTTACGACATATAAATATCTTGTTAAAGAGAAGCTTCTTGAAAAAAAATTAATTAACAGTTGTGTTGTTGAGGTGGTAACAAAAGAAAATTAGAAATAGTTACGTAATTAGGTAAGAGAAGACCAGAATTTCGGTGGACATGAGGTCAGATGAGAAGGTGATAATGCAATACAGTGAGTAGAGCCCAGAAGATCGAGACAAATTATCTCTTAAGAGAGTCAAGCGAAAAATAAAGGGCGAGAGGGTGGAGTGAAAAGATAAGTTAACAAAATTAGAAAACAAAGAGTTGAGTCACCAGGGTAATTGAAGTCCAACAACGGATTCTTTTTGGACACATAAGTCAGGCTTCGTGTGTCTTTACTTGAATTTCAACAGTTTCTGCCCGGTGAGATACAAACGAACGCTGGTGAAAACACTTTTCTCTAGAGCGAAGAGAATATGTTCACCAAACAAACTAGACAGTGAACTAATGCTTCTTGAAAAATGCTTGAAAGAAAATGGTTACCCACAATGTTTCATTTACAAATATGGCAAGAATGAACTCAAGAAGCTTGATACAGCTACAGTCAGTAAGAAGCCTATTTTCATCAAACTCTACTACGAGGGCGATGACATTATGAGGATGGTAAATAAAAGATTAAGCGCAGCCCTGTCTAGGACTTGTCCTGCAGCATTATTAGTCTCTATGCCGAACAACCTCCTCATTGGTGCAGTCAAAGATTGACAAGTACCTATCACATGTTATCCACATGTATCTGTGGGAGCAGTTACATTGGAAGAACAGAAAGCAGGACCTACGTCAGATTCTGCGAACATGTTCCAAGGAGCCTCCGGGTAAAGAGACTGAATTGTTCAAGCTCTTCAATCGTCAAACACCTGATTGACATAGGACACCGAGTAGATGTGCTAAAATCATTCAAAACAATTAACAGACAAAGTACCTCAAGTCGTCTCAGGTTTGCTGAAGCTATAGCAATAAAACAATTGAAACCTAACTTATGTGTCCAAAAAGAATCCCTTGTTGGACTTCAGTTACCCTGGTGACTCACTTCTTAGTAACTCCTTGTTTTCTAATTTTGTTAACTTATCTTTTCACTCCACCCTCTCGCCCTTTATTTTTCGCTTGACTCTCTTAAGAGATAATTTGTCTCGATCTTCTGGGCTCTACTCACTGTATTGCATTATCACCTTCTCATCTGACCTCATGTCCACCGAAATTCTGGTCTTCTCTTACCTAATTACGTAACTATTTCTAATTTTCTTTTGTTACCACCTCAACAACACAACTGTTAGTTAGTTTTTTTCTCAAGAAACGTCTCTCTAACAAGATATCTATCTGTCTCTGTCTGTTTTCGACATAGAACTTTGCACAAATGTGCGGAAGTTCAAGTCGCCACACTCCGTGTAGCACGCGAAGCAAGAGAAGAAAGTACAAGAAAAGCATAATAGAAACAGTGAGCAGAGGTGTGAGACAAAGGAGTAATAAAGAAAAACAAAACAGTTTCATTGGAGATCATAAGTCACATAAGTTAATGTGTGCTGTGAAGTCATAAGATAAAATATGGGCGTGTCAACTTAGGATAAAACGGCTTTCTACCATTCTAAATGTCATCCCAGATAGTAGATGACTTAGTGACGTGACACGCTATGGCTTAAAGCTGAAATTAATATCAGGGATATTGTGCATTCCTGGTTCCCCATTTTAATAATGATAATAATTTGCTTTATTCCAAAACAGTACTTGTGACACAGAATGGAATTCTCAGCATTTTACTACAATATTGCGCATCCAGTTAGTACATTAACAATAAATAAAGTTCTACATAGATTAAGGTTAATCTCAGTTGGTTTTGATAACAACATATTGGCATGGCGGTGTTCAAGCCCGACCACCACGTCAAGGTAGCAGCTTTTGGTCGGGTAGATATACATAAATATATATGACGTAACACTCTAGACACCCTGTAAATCGCAACGCCTTATTTCACTATGACGCTCTGACAATATTCTTTCTAATGTACAAACGTTTATTAAAATCGTACACTTTTTTATTTTATTAAAGAATTCAGGTTGTACGCAACTGATGAGAACCGACGGGATAAAATGGATCCAGATTATTCTACACACCAATGTTTCTTCTTTCTTTTTTTCAAATATATGAATGTATTTATATTCCACGGGTTTCATATATCTACTTTTTTTGTAATTTATAGTTTCATAGCTGTGACTTGTGTCGGGAATTCTTCGTAGCAGTTGAAGACTTTAATGCGCATAACGAAAGATTTCATAGAATTGAAATACTAGACGATGATGGTGATGATGATAGTCGTGATAATTCTGATGACATCCCAGCGTCGGTTGAATGCAGTTCATCGTCAAATAAAAGTAATAATAATAATTATAGTAATACAACGCCTAGCATCACTCCTATCACAACTAGCAATCAATCTTCCCAGTCAACCTCTTCCGCTTCATCAATGAACTCAGAAGTATCAGATGGGACAAAGTCTAGATCAACTTCTAATTCACATAGAATACTGATTATGGACTCCTCTCTTAATGAACAATCAATGTGTAAAAGTGTTCCGTCTAGAAATAACATTGGAAGCAATCATTCTGAGAAACTATCTACTAACGATGAAGATAATATCAACAAGAGTCATAGACATGTTGTAGTTGACGAAATAAATATTAACGATGATGTTGATGGTGCTGACTGCAGGAATGCTGATAATACAACAGAAGGACAACGTGGATTACAGACGACTACGGCTCCGGACATCGTTGATGATGAGGATGATTTTGATGATGACGAATTTGTATGTCCAATGTGTGAGTTTCACAGTAAACAGCGCAGTGATATAATGCAACATATTGTAGATTATCATGAAAACGCATACTTTGGCTAGTCCTACGCCTACTACTATTTTTATTTTTATTATTACTGATTATATTTTTGTGAGCACTGTTAATTGCTACAAACTGGTTGTTTTTGTATTTTATTTCAAATAGTGGAAAAATGATTGAGTGGTATCAATCAATTATTGATTCTAATGAATGAGTGAATAATCGATTATTTATTCTGCCTTCTTTTATCATAACGATAATCTATTCAATTTTTCAGAGTTGATGATCGCTCGTTCTTATTTATTTGTGTATATTGTGTATTAACATATATATTTTGTGAAATGTATATTTTTAAATCTCCTTGGCGGCGGCGGGGGGAGGTTATTTATTGTTATAAACGAAAGTATTTTATAATTCCCCCATAATTTTATACTATTTTTCATTATTAAGCATTGTTGATATCATTATCATTGATTACTTATGAATAATTTTTTTAGATTTCTTTTACACGGTTATTATATATACATATATTTCACCAAGGTGTCTTTTACTGTATTATATAAATCATTATAATATGTATCTGTTGTGATTCGGAAGTGAGCAGTTGGCAGGCTAGTGTCATACACATCCATGATACTTCACTCTAACAGATGCTTGCAACAACAACAACTGAAATTCATTCAGTCTGTCTAGTGTATCTTAATTATAATCACACGAATTCGAATCTTGCGTTTAATAGTTCTCTTTGTTCTCCCCTATTCGTCGTTGTTGGGGTAGTAGAATTTTCTAGATATCTGGCTAGACAGATGTTGAATCTAATATAAGTATAAAACTTGGGCACTGTGGTAAAGTATAATTCCATCATAGATAAGATTTTATTTTGATAAATCGCACAGTGTTTACAGATGTTGAATCATTCCTATTACATGTATTTGCAGTTGATTCGATAAGTATAAAGCTTCTGTCATCAATCTCTCCCTCCCTCCACCCTGCTGTTACATTAGATTTTAAAACTGTCATCCTATCCCATCCATCCTATTGTATGGTTGTGTGTAATTGCATATAGTGAGTGGTATAGCTGAACTATTCTCTAGATTTATCATCTTATTCGGGTCAACCAATCTGGATTTTGTTAGGTTTTTATGTTCAGCTAGTCTGACTACCCTGTTCTACTAGTTTGACCTATATATTTGACCGGACAATCATTTCAGCAGGGTATAAGATAAACTAAATTGTTTTGTTTTAAAGGCTCTACAGGATCCTTTAACCTACAAAGTTTGTTTCTAATTGAGTTTATGGGTTTGAATGCCAGCCACTTTGATTCCTGCCTTGTTAGGAATTCTGCGTAAGGTGGTTTCCGAGGTTCCTTCCTTGTATGGAATTACTACTGATGATTTAGATTCTTTATTGTTGGTGTTGTCTTGCGCATGCATGTCGTCATTAATATTATTATTATCACTACCATTATTTTATTTTTACATTTCCTTACATATTTCCTGATTAATTTATCCGGGTAATTATTAAGCTTCAAGGCTTCTTTTATGTGTATCACTTCCTGTCTTAGACCTTCTTTGGTACTACTTAGTTGTTGTCCTCTATTACTTAAACATTTCACCAATGCCACTTTTACTGACATGGAGTGGGATGATTGGAAGTCCAAATATCTGTTTGAATGTGTGGGTTTCCTGTAAACACTAATGTTTAACTTCCCATCTTCTTTCCTTTTTACACTGCAATCTAACATTGGAAGCTCGCCTTCCTGACTTTCCAATTCATAAGTGAACTGAATTGCCTCTACCTTCGAGTTGATGTGTTCGAAAAATCTACCTATATCCTGTGTTCCAAGTACAGTGAATGTGTGTCATCTACATACCTCCACCATACTTCTCGGGTAGGGGTGAACGTCTCAATGTCTATGCTTTCCCACCTATCCATGAATATATCTGCTACAACCGGGAATATTGGTGATCCCATGACAACTCCATCAGTTTCTAATGTCACAGGGTGGAGGGAGAGATTGATAAGCTTTGTTTATCGAGTCAACTGCAAATACATGTAATAGGAATGATTCAACTCCTGTCCACTCGGATATCTGGAAAATTCTACTACCCCAACAACGACGAATAGTAGAGAACAAAGAGAACTCTAAAGCTGAAGTTTCCAGGTCGTGTGATTATAACTGATATGATTATGAACAATAATGAATTAATAAACACGTTAATATAGATGAAATATACCAACTAATAAGAAGTAAATCAGGTGATCAGAAAGTTTAAAATCCCAATCAATAGAAAACGGTCAATAAATATCTAAAGATGGTTACCGGGAGACTCATGAAGAAATTTAAATCATTTCACTTTATCCTAAATACTGCGCTGAAGATGTCGTCCAGAAAGACGATGAAAGCTCCGCAATTAAACCAAGGAGCTCAGAGAACACTATCAATTGCAAATAATGAATTGTGTTCGAAACTGTGTCATCCAGTAAATAATACTATTTCACTGACTGTATGATACATCGAATAAACAATATGGAATTACTTACTACCACAGTGCCCAAGTTTTACGCATATACCAATGAAAGTTATATTTTGTTGGTTATAGACACACCAGTATGTTGCTTATTTATCTATTCACATTTCATCTTATGTTCTGAATGACTGCACATTTTATAGACGTTAATTTGATAATATTAAATAATGAACTATCACTCATATTATACAAGTATCCAAATAAAGTTTCCAATACAATTTTTCTTGATCTTCCGAATTCTACTCCCCGTATTACATCATCATGTTGCTTTCATTTGACCTCTTCCGCATCAAACATTGATCTCCTTTCATCTAACTACGTAACTGTTACTAATTTTTTGTTCGAACCCTGTCGTATGGGTAGTAGAATTCTCCAGATATCTGGCTGGACAAGTGTTGAATCATTCCTATTACATGTATTTGCAGTTGATTCGATAAGTACAAATCTTCTGTCATCAATCTCCCCCTCCACCCTGCTGTTACATTAGATTTTAAAACTGTCATCCTATCCCATCCATCCTATTATATGGTTGCGTGTAATTGCATGTAGGGAGTGTGATAGCTGAACTACTCTCTAGATTCCTTATCTTATTCGGGTCAACCAATCTAGATTTAAGAAGAAGAAGAGAACACGAAGTTCAGCAAAGATATTTTTTCGACGATCTCAGTTACAAAAGCTGTACAATCGCATTTAAATACATACTTTCACATGGATAGATAATGACGACGGCGAATGAAAGGTGACAATTATTTTCAACTAGATCTGGTTACGAGGGGGTTAGAAACAAAATTACACAGGATTAGAACGGATACCAAGTGTGCAAGAAATGAGCATGGAAACAAATTGAAATAATAATTTTCAACTTGAGATGGGAGTTAAGAGGTGTGAATATAGATTACAAGAGCCTTAGAAACAAAATTACATGGGATTATAGCGAATTACAGGTGTATAGAAAATAAGCTCCATAATGGCTTTGTTGCAATTTCACCATATATCTGGCTGGTATAGATATCGCATCATTTCGATTTCACGTGTTTTGTGTTGATTCGATGAGCAGAGATTTCGTGATTAATCTCTCTCTCTCTCTCTCCCTACCCAGATGCCTTACTTCTTAATGCTTTTGTCCACTCCTATTCGTTAACTCATGGAAAATTCCCATTGTAACACATGGAAAATCAAAGCAAGTGATTCAGCGAAGAGACTCTTTTCAACGAATTTATCATCCATCAAGCTTTACGATCGTATATATTTGGTTTTTTAAGAAATTATATCTGGTGGGGCAATTAGATCAAAGGTGTGAGTGAATACATGAAATAATAATAGTAGTATGCAATGCAATTAAAATATTTTTGATTATAATCATGGTTTAATGTCAAGTGGCAAAATAATTAATATCATATATAGAATAATACATAAGGTGTATAGATTTTGGAAAGGGGTACATAATTATAGGATTAGTAGACGAATATTAAATGTTACATAACATGGTGTGAAATTTGATAAGATAGAATTCAATATTGTAAAAATAAAAAATTAATAATTTTGGTTTTAAAATGACAAATGGGTCAAGTGGAAAAGATTCAGAGTGAGAATAGTAACAATAATAATAATAATCGTAGTAATAAGGGAAAGGTACATAGAATAACTAAATAAACTTTCAACTGATGAACACCGGCACTTCGTGAAATACGTTTCTTTTGTCATCGGAAAACAGTTCCAGTCTGCTAACCTCAAGCATCTTAACAGTCTCAAGCAGGTATTAGCAGAAAATGGATTCCCGACTGACCTCAATAAATATGTATTTAATTATTCTTTCGTCACTCTTTCTGAAATTCAACTACAAGCCCTTTCACTGGGCTCCAAATTCTTTAACAGTCCGTCCAAAGTCAACAGATCGCATACTCAAGTACAATTTGAAAATCTTTATAATCAGACCAACGATCTCACGCCCACATCACATGAGGAATTCCAACACTTTAAACCCACAGTTCTTGATTGCGGTCATCAGTTTACTAGTTCGAAATTTAGCTGTAATAATCTTCTAACTAAAGAGCATATAGACCAACTTAAAGAACTAGAGAAGAATGATGATATTATCATATGCCATCCAGACAAGGGTTGGGGGTGTTGTAGTTGTGAATCGCCAAGATTATAATGATAAAATCTCAGCGATCCTTTCTGACCTAACGAAATTCTCCAAACCTGATGGTGAAAAGAACAAGATACATCCAAATGAAAATCAACTGACTGGTGTCTTAAAGAACATGAGGAACAAGTTAGCAATCTCGTCAGAAATATATGAACGCATCTGACTAGTAGGCTCCGTGATACCACGTTTGTATGAACTACTGAAAGTTCATAAGACAGGATTACCCCTCCGTCCAATCCTCGATATGGCGGGCTCTCCTTATCAGGAAATCGTTCAATGGATAGCCGAAATTCTGGAACCAGTTAAAAGGCAAGTATCTAAATTTTCCATTGATGATACGTTTAAATTTCTGTATAGCATTAAAGATTTTAATGTCTCAGACAAAGTCATGTTCTCATTAAATGTGACGTCACTATTTACCAATGTTCCGCTCATGGAAACTGTTTGCTATTTATGTGATTATATTCTTACACGTAGTGTAGAAATAGGCTTGCCGACAATCCACCTCAAAGAGCTTTTATTGAGATGCACGTTGGATGTTCAGTTCACCTTCAATAGTGAGATTTTTAGACAGAGATATGGCACTGCCATAGGATCACCATTGAGTTCCTTGTTGGCTGATTGTTTTATGGCAAAGCTTGAAAATTCTCAACTTAGTTAAACCATTGGTCATTTTGACATTTATAAGAGATGCATAGACGACACTTTCGTCATCTGCGATAGTAACGTAATTCTTGATGATGTCTTGTTTGCTTTCAACAACTGCCATCCTTCCTTACAATTCACCACTGAAAAGGAATCTGAACTAAGTATTCCGTTTCTGGATGTGTGCCTTAGCAGACGTAATGACGGATCTCTCAAAAGATCTATCCACCAGAAACGTACATGGAACGGACAACTAACTAATTTTTACAGTTGGATGCCTATTTCCAAGAAAAGGAACCCTATTCATTCGCTCTGCTTTAGGATAAGGAAAATTTGTAGTTCAGATTGCGTTAACTCAGAACTTGACTTCTTAAAAGCCACACTCGCAGAAAATGGTTACCTTAACCGATTTATTGACAGCAACATGATAGATAAGCAGTCTAAACTGGCCACCGACTCAGTTCCAAAGAAAACCTTATTCATGAACTTGGAATTCAAAGGAGATCAAGCTTCTGATATGCTCAAAAATCGTCTTTCTAAATCAGTTAGTAAAACGTTCCCTGCAGCTAGATTACATATG